CTCCCTCTCTCCTTGCTGGATCAAGGCATGGGATACGTCACCGGACTGCATGTGTGTTGAACGCGGAGGTGCCGTCCGTTCGGCATTAGGATCTCCGGTGATTTGGATCACGACGAGTACGACTCCTTCAACCCTGTTCACTTGAACGCTTCTGCTTAGTGATCTACAAGGGTATGTAGATGCACTCTCCTTCCCCTCGTTGCTGGTTTCTCCATAGATAGATCTTGGTGACTCGTAGGAAAATTTTGAATTTTTGCTACGTTCCTCAACATCTTTCACATAGATAATCTATGCCACATCATTGGCTAGGATGAACGGTTCGTCTGTGTACCCAAGAATTTTCAGATCCACTGTTGTCATTCCATACTTTGGGTCTACCTGTACCACGCCTCCTGACAGATTGACCCATTTGCACTTAAACAAAGGGACCTTAAAATCATGTCCGTAGTCAAGTTCCCATATGTCCACTATGTAACCATAATATGTGTCCTTTCCCCTCTCGGTTGTTGCATCAAAGCGAACACCGCTGTTTTGGTTGGTGCTCTTTTTATCTTGGTCAATCGTGTAAAATGTATTCCCATTTATCTCGTATCCTTTCCAAATCGTAACAGTCGAAGATGGTCCCCTGGACAACAAGTACAACTCATCACAAACAGTGTTGTCACCTCTGAGACGTGCTTCCAACCAACTGCTGAAAGTCCTGATGTGTTCACATGTAATCCAATCGTCTCACTCCTCTGGGTGTTTGGAGCGCAGACTGTTCTTGTGTTCATCGACATACGGGGTCACCAAGGTAGAGTTCTGTAGATTTGTGTAGCATGCTTGAGACCAAGAATATCCGTCCCTGCATATTATTTAGTCCCTTCCAAGCGTGCCTTTTCCAGTCAATCTCCCCTCATATACCGCGATTGAGGGAGACCTATCTTCTTAAGGCCAGGAATGAAGTCAACACAAAACCCGATGACATCCTTTGTTTGATGGCCCATGGAGATGCTTCCTGTTGGCCTAGCGCGGTTACGGACATATTTCTTTAAGACTCCCATGAACCTCTCAAAGGGGTACATATTGTGTAGAAATACGGGGCCCAGAATGACAATCTTGTCAACTAGATGAACTAGGACGTGCGTCATGATATTGAAGTAGGATGGTGGGAACACCAGCTCGAAACTGACAAGACATTGCACCACATCACTCCTTAGCCTTGGTATGATTTCTGGATTGATCACCTTCTGAGAGATTGCATTGAGGAATGCACATAGCTTCACAATGGCTAATCAGACGTTTTCCGATAGAAGCCCCCTCAATGCAACCGGAAGCAGTTGCGTCATAATCACGTGACAGTCATGAGACTTTAGGTTTTGAAACTTTTTCTCTGACATATTTATTATTCCTTTTATATTCGACGAGAAGCCAGTCGGGACCTTCATACTAAGCAGGCATTTCAAAGAAGATTTCCTTCTCTTCTTTGGTAAGAGCATAGCTGGCAGGACCTTCATACTGCTTTGGAGGCATGCCGTCTTTTTCGTGCAAACGTTGCAGTTCCTCCCGTGCCTCAGCTGTATCTTTTGTCTTCCCATACACGCCCAAGAAGCCTAGCAGGTTCACGCAAAGGTTCTTCGTCACGTGCATCACATTGATCAAAGAGCGGACCTCTAGGTCTTTCCAGTAGGGTAGGTCCCAAAATATAGATTTCTTCTTCCACATGGGTGCGTGTCCCCCAGCGTCACTCGGAACAGCTAGTCCACAACCTTTCCAAAGATTACGTGTAAATCATTGACCATAGCAAGTATGTGATGACCGGTACGCATGGCGGGCTTCTTCCGGTGATCTGCCTTGCCTTTGAAATGCTTGCCTTTCTTTCGACATTGATGGTTGGTCGGAAGAAATCGACGATGGCCCAGGTACACATTCTTCCTGCAGCTTCCTAGGTATATACTATCGGTGTCAAGTAAACAGTGCGTGCATGCGCGGTATCTCTTGTTTGTCTGTCCTGAAAGGTTACTGGGAGCGGGCCAATCGTTGATGGTCACGAACAGCAACGCCTTTAGGTGAAATTCCTCCTGTTTGTGCTCATCCCACGTACGTACACCGTTTCCATTCCACAGCTGTAAAAGTTCTTCACCTAATGGCCTTAGGTACACATCAATGTCGTTGTCGGGTTGCTTACGGCCTTGGATGAGAACTGGCATCATAATGAACTTCCGCTTCATGCACATCCAAGGAGGAAGGTTATACATACATAGAGTCATGGGCCAGGTGATGTGATTGCTGCTCTGCTCCCCGAAAGGATTAATGCCATCCGCGCTTAAAGCAAACCATACGTTCCTTGGGTCACTTGCAAACTCATCCCAGTACTTTCTCTCGATTTTTCTCCACTGCGACCCGTCAGGGGGTGCTCTCAACTTCCCGTCTTTCTTACGGTCCTCACTGTGCCATCGCATCAACTTGGCATGCTCTTTCTGAACAGACGTTTCAACCGTGGTATTATAGGAGCATACCACATCACCTTCGCAGGAACCCTCTTCCTGGGGGGTTGGCCGTCAACATCATCAGGGTCATCTCGTCTCATCTTATACCGTAATGCACTGCATACCGGGCATGCATTCAGATCCTTGTACGCACCGCGGTAGAGGATGAAGTCATTAGGGCATGCATGTATCTTCTGCACCTCCAATCCTAGTGGGCATACGACCTTCTTTGCTGCGTATGTACTGTCGGGCAATTCGTTATCCTTTGGAAGCTTCTTCTTCAATATTTTCAGTAGCTTCTCAAATCCGTTGTCAGGCACAGCATTCTGTGCCTTCCACTGCAGCAATTCCAGTACGATACTGAGCTTTGTGTTGCCATCTTTGCAATTGGGGTACAACCCTTTTTTGTGGTCCTCTAACATGCGATCGAACTTCAGCTTCTCCTTTTGACTTTCGCATTGCGTCCTTGCATCGACAATGACCCGGCAGAGATCATCATCATCGGGCACATCGTCTAGTTCCTCTTGATCTTCAGCAGCTTCGCCTGTTGCAGCATCATCGTGCACATCGTCTGGTTCCTCTTGATCTTCAGTAGCATCACCGTATTCAGGGGGCACATAGTTGTCATCGTACTTTTCTTCTTCGTCGTCTTCCATCATAACCCCTATTTCTCCGTGCCTCGTCCAAACATTATAGTGTGGCATGAAACCCTTGTAAATCAGGTGGGTGTGAAGGATTTTCCGGTCAGAGTAAGACTTCGTATTCCCACATATAGGGCATGGACAACACATAAAACCATTCTGCTTGTTTGCCTCAGCCACTTCGAGAAAATCATTCACCCCCTTAATGTACTCGGAGGTGTGTCTTGAACCGTACATCCATTGCCGGTTCATCTGCGTGCATTATATATAATTAAGTGTGTCAAAAATCATTACAGAACATCATGAATAGATAATGAAGTGACCAAATTAATAGAAGTTCATCATCACATTAAAACCAAAGTACATACATAGTTCTCATCTAACTACATAAAGCTCTGCAGAGCATCTAAATTAATTAAACCATACATTGAAACTATGTAAAACATTTCAATGCGAAAACAAATGCGATCATAATCGCAACAAATGTAACAACTGATCCAACGGCATAATGATACCAAGCCTCGGTATGAATAGCATATTTTCTAATCTTTCTAATCTTCAAGCGCATTGCATCCATCTTGATCTTGTGATCATCGACGACATCCGCAACATGCAACTCCAATATCATCTTCTCCTCCTCAATTTTTCTAATTTTCCCTTCAAGAAATTGTTTTCTTCTTCAACTAAATTTAACCTCTCAACAATAGGGTCGGTTGGAATTTCCGGTTCAACAACCTCCTAGATAAATAAAATCTATGTCACGTTGGTCGGTATAATTGTCATAAACAGTAGATGAACCAATAGTTATGAAAAGATAATATATACCACATCCGAACCATAGACAAGACGAGGGCCGACGGGGGCGGATACCAAAACCATCGCACTATATAAGATGCAATAATAAAAGTAAGAAAATTATACAAGTATCTATATAAACATACAAGTAAGAATTTTTTTTCCTTTCAGAAAGAAGATAAGAACAAGAGGCTCACCACGGTGGTGCCGGTGACGAGATCGGCGCGGGCGATCGAGGGCGGTGAAGACGGGGACGGGACGTGACGGACCGCTAAACCTAGACAAATATTGAGGAAAATGGAGCTTGGAGGTCGAGCTTGCAGAGGATAAAGCTTAAGTAGTGTGGCTCGGGCATTCCATCGAACACCTCGTGTGCATAGGAGGTGAGCTAGAGCACCACAAAGTTCTCTCCTCGCCGGCCATGAAAAACAGAGCAGTGGGAGTGCTCTGCTCGCGGGCGAGGGGTATATATAGGCAATTAATTGGTCCTGGTTCGTGGCAAGAACCGGGACTAAAGGGCAGCCTTTGGTCCCGGTTCATGCCAACAACCGGGACCAATGGTGGTGGGCCAGGAGCGAGGCACATTGGTCCCGGTTCGTCCCACCAACCGGGACGAAAAGGTCCAGACGAACCGGGACCAATGGCCCACGTGGCCCGGCCGGCCCCCGGGGCTCACGAACCGGGTCCAATGCCCCCATTGGTCCCGGTTCTGGATTGAACCAGGACTAATGGGCTGACCTGGCCTCGACCATTGCCCCCTTTTCTACTAGTGGGTAAATCAAGAGTTCTTCAACACCAACATATAGATATAATACTTTAGACATGCAACAACAAACCAAGGAGTGTTACTTCCAATATACATATACTTTCTCCATTCAATGTATTAAACAGAGAGAACGGCATAGTCCATATATAATGGACGCTTACATAAATTATCAAGCACACACTATGATAATACCTATGGATTATAATGCAAGGTACAATCCAATAAAATTCACTTTCTTACGCTAGGCTCGCGCACTGGTTGATATGAATTAGCTTCGGATTCTTGAAGATTGGACTAGATGGCATGTACAATTGGTATCAGTAGCTCTGCTCATCTAAGTGTTGTTGCAGTCGTATGTACAATATTCTCTTTAATCTTGACAAGTTGTTCTGCTACTTCTTTCATACCAGGACGTCCATCTAAACGTTCTTTTAGACATTGCATTGCTAGCTTGCCAATTTCTTCAAGGATCAGAATATCTTTTTCAGCTACAATCTCCTCATCAAACAATGACCTTCCACTCTTTTTTGTCTCATATATATGGCGAAATTCAATGATGAGGCTACCGCTTTCACCATATTCCACTTTTTTCCTAGATATGAGTTCTAGGAGAACAACCCCAAAGCTATAGACATCGCTCTTTGAGGTTAATATACCAGTGTTCCTGAAAACTGGGTCCATGTAACCCTGGCACCCAATAACCTTCTTAGTAAATTTTTCCCCTGGGTTAAGTAGTTTAGATAGCCCAAAATCAGCTATTTTTGGTATTGACTTGTCACTGAGAAGTATGTTGTCTGGTTTCACATCTCCATGCCGTATGTCTTCAGAGTGCATATAGCTTAATCCGTTGGCAGACCCAATTGCAATGTCCAACCGTAACTCCGCTGAGAGCTTTTGGTTTTGTTTCCAGTGTAGAATGTCTCTGAGACTCCCTTCTGCAGCGAACTCATACACCAACATTGGAACATCCAGCTGGAGGCAACAACCCATTAGCTTGAGAATGTTAGGGTGTTTCATTTTCAATTGGATCTTCACTTCCTCCGTAAATTCCCCTATTCTGTCTTTATCTACCTTGATAAAGGATTTAACTGCCACGATTGCTTCATCGGGTAGAGTTCCTTTGTACACTTTACCAAAATATCCATTACCCAGACACTCTGAATTATTCTTAGTGATTTTCTTTAGGTCCTTCTCTGTGAAAATGGGCAGGCCTATGACTGATTTTAGTATATTACCCCCATTCATTTCAAAATGCTCAGCAAGTTTTCTCTTTTGGTGCATTATGAATGCCAAGAGCAAGGCAAAAACCAAGATGGACACACCTAGGCCGATGCCTGCAATATATATCATATACAGTTACTTGTAAGAATTTTATGTTATATCTTCTTTCATTCCAAAAAAAAGTTAAGAGACACTTTTTTTATCCCGTGAAGGTAATAATGAATATGTATACTGCAAGAATACCTGTAAATTTACTGTATAGATTTTTTTACTTTCATACAGTATTGGGGTAGTATGAACACATGGGAAAATGTCAATTTGAAGTTTGCAACAGTTACGAATTCAACCTTAACAAACAGAAACACAATTTTAACCTTATCATGGCATTAGTTAGGTATAGCTTGGAAATAATTTTGTTGTGCAACTAATATATACTCCCTCTATTCTAGAATATATATAGGGTGTGTTGATTTCCATGCAAGTCAACAATTTCAATGTTTGACCAAGATTATAGACTAAAATAACAACATCTCCAATACCTAATAGGCAAAATATGAAACTACTTTTCATGATGGATCAAATGATATAAATTTTGTATTGTGGATATTGATATATTTTTCTAAAAAATTGGTCAAACATGCACTCATTTGACTTTTCAAAAAACAAATACACCTTGCATAAAGGAACAAAGGGCGTGTATACCTAGAGCAATCCTTGCTGGAAGTGGGAATTTTGGATTGCATGGATTTTCTTTTGGATCACCACTACTCTCGTAGCCTAGGTGACATTTGCAATCATATGAACCGTCAATGTCATAACATACACCATTGCATGGATATTCCTCCCTTGGACGTGCACATTCATTTAAATCTGCAAATTAATCAATGAATCAACTATGAGGTATTCTCTACATTTAAATATAACCAAGTCAATAATAAGATAAGTATTAGTAACACATCTATTTCAAGTGTTCTGATAGCTTTGAGAGTGTGCTCTGGCATGCTCCCCCGTTCATGCATATCCTTGAATATTAACTCGAGCACTACATAGCAATTAGACATCTATTCTAGTGTAAAGAAGCATGAGCAGTTTACAAATTTGATTATTAAATATACAATCACAATGTATTTGTAGCACTCCATCCCAGGATATATAGCATGCATCAAAGTTTATGATCAATTTTCAGTTACGATTAGAAAACTATATAGAACTATGCTAACCATAAATATGAATAAAATAGTTCCAATATTGTGTGTTATAGCTCATAATTTATTATAGTAGATGTGCTCAGAATTGAGCATAAAATTTTGTGCACGTCTTAGATTGTTGAATGAGATATTAGCTCGTATAAAAAGAAATTTAAAGAATGACACAAAACTACGTGAGTTTTTTCGCACACCCAACAAAAATAATTAAAAACAATGGAAGTAATTTATTTTAATGTTTAGCCAACGTTCTCTACAAAACATCAAGTAAGCGGCATGTCAGGCGAGTGGTTACTAGGGTTGAGCCGTGGGGCGCATATGAAGTGTGGTGCTTGTATTAAATTTCATGCATGACATATGTTGTGTATTTTTTGAACATGTACTTGGTGTGATGCACTTATTTAGTTTGAAAGAGAATACACACTAAATACATAAAAGCTCTGCAACTTTATAAATTTGTTTAAAATCAACACTAATTTTGAAATAGGTAAATACTATATGTAGCATAAAGCAACATACAAACAAAATTTGCATATAAAATCTTCTCCATGTGCTTGAAAATAGATGTATTCTTAGACAATGGTATGGTCTAAAAACAATCAACGTCTATTATTCCATGCTGTCCAGGTACATTAGTACAAAGTTATTAAAACTATAATCTATTTTTTTTAATGGGTAGCATTATTTAGACCAATCTAATGACCTAATTATAACTCAATAATACTTCACTTTTTGAAAGTTGACTGCACAGTTTTTAGGAAAGGGCTGTGATTTGTTATAAGTAAACAATTTCTTTTAGCTAAATCCTATGCCCGATATATGATATAATCGACATAGAGGTAGATTTAATATTGTCGTCGGCCGGAATGTCTTTTTCTTTAGATAAAAAGAAGTTTTTATTGAAGTCATTTAATTGCACCAAGGTGATACAACCTTATTGAACTCAATCCCGGTCTCTGCCATGGTACAATCAATTGCCATGTCTAACACTACATAAAAAAGGTGCCACTCATAATTAGTTTTAGCTCTCAAACTACACCCATCCTTCTAAAATATATGTCGTAATTACTTTCTAAAAGTCGATTTTATCTATGTTTCACCAAGTTTATTTAGAAAAATATCAATACGTTACCAAACCGGTACCATTTGATTCATCATGAACTATATTTTCATGTTATAATTATTTGGTATTGTAGATGTTGATTTTTTTCTCATAATCTTGGTCAAACCGTAGAGGGGTTTAACTATTGAACAAATTAATACACCTTATAATCATATAATATTGAAAAGGAGGGAGTAAGGATTCAGCACTTTTAACATATTTCCCTAAGGATGGAACAGAAACTTACTTGTACATCCCTTGTGAAGATACGGGTTGCCCTCGTAGCCTTCGGTGCAGTTGCACACATATCCGGGACCGTTGGTGGAGTCGACACACTCGCTGTGTTGGCTGACGCACATGTACCCCGGCATGCTGGGCGCCTCGGCGCACGACAGGGAGCTGCCGTTGTTGACACGGATGGCCCAGTCTAGCCGCAGCGGCTTGCTGGTCTCGAGGTCCATTTTGAGGTCAGCCTTCTGGAACGTGTAGTTGCCCTTCTCCACGATGAAGGCGTAGTCGCAAAGGCTGAACGGCATGCCCGGGTTCTTCCAATCCGGATCCCCCGAGAACCGCATCTTGTTGTCGGAAAGGCCCGGTGGGATGTCAACATGGCAGCAGCCGACTCCGGTACAGTCGCCATCACGCGCACTCTGGGCGTTGTCGCAGTAAGCGGCGCAGCCCGTGTAGTAGGTGTAGGTGGAGCGACCGCGCGGCCCACCGTTGGTGTAGACGAAGGTGTTGCAGCCTAGAACGACGAGCTCGTTGTGATTGTTGGAGATGCGGTACACACCGGCCCGATTGTAGTTTACGGTGCTGATGCTCCACTTGATAGCGTCGCCGGAGGAGTTGAAGCACTGCCACGTTATGGGCACCATCACCCGTGCCTCTGGTCGCGGGGTCACGGACAAGCTGAGCACGAACACCTCTATAGCCTGCTCGGTGTTCCCTAGGATAGGCCTGCTGTTGTCGCAGACGATCTCGAAGCCGGGGAGGAAGCAGCCTTGGCCGATGCCAAAAGGGTAGGGAACGTCGACGCCGCCACAGCTTGGCCGGCAGCCCGGCTTCAAGGTGAGGCTCGTCGCGGTGGCCGCAAGTGCCGCAAGAAGCAGCGTAGGCAGCAAGAATGTCGTCGACATTTCTGCTTTGTTCCTCAGCTACTTGATGTTGGTAGGTTCGGCCTTTATATAGAGTTATACCATGATGATAGTGGGTTCATAGTTGTTATTATTATTTTCGAGAAAGCTAATTTCCGAGAAGGAGATAACCAGACCTACCGTGTAAGAGGGGTGGTAGCATGGTGCGCTTAGAAAAATATTCTCTCTACGGTTTGGAGAGGAGATAACCAGACCTGTATAGGTTTTAGTCATTTTTAATAACAACAAATTTCCTACGGATGTGCCATCTCCATCTCCACTATAATATGACACGTAATACTTGAACTACTACTATGTTTTTATGTGCTTTGATATTTTCTCGCCTTTTGTAGCATACGACAAGGAGGTGGGGCACAACAACAAAAAACTCCGATGCCCTCCCATCTTCTTCCCGGAGGCTTCTTCTACCCGCTCTTCCTAGATACACTATTGAGGGCAAGAGGCCCTCCCATATATTGTCAGTATTGGTCCTCCGACCGTGCAGCTCTGCAATTGGAGCCTATTTTACAGACGGCACCTATTGAGTCTGTCACAATATCAAAACATCAAGTTCCAATATGATTGCAGAAATAATGGACCACGTCTTACTTTAAGCACCATCGTCTTGTGTAGCTACACTAGTAGAAAACAGGGCATTTGTCCCGGTTCGTAAGGGCCTTTAGTCCCAGAACCGGGACTAAAGGGTCGTTACTAATGCCTCCCCCCTTTAGTCCCGGTTCTAACACGAACCGGGACAAATGTGCATCCACGTAGCCGGTGCGCCGAGCCCAGGCAGGAGGGCCTTTGAGTTAGACAATAGAATGATTGCCTTGATTGATTCATCACAGTACAACAGTGGTTACATATATAGAGAGCCCAAGGAAGTAGGCACGCAGGCCAGGGCGATGGTTGAGATCCACAATAATAGGACTGGACGTGCCAGACTAATTACAACAGAAAAGTACAGTCTAACACCCCCCCTCAGCTGGTACGCCATTTGGTAGGACGTTCAAGCTGGACCTAAACTCCGTGTAGATCGGTGAAGGTAGTCCCTTGGTGAAGATATCCGCAAACTGCGAGCTCGATGGAACGTGAAGGACCCGGGCTTCACCAAGAGCGACGCGATCCCGAACAAAGTGAAGATCGATCTCAACATGTTTGGTGCGCTGATGTTGTACTAGATTGTTGGATAGGTAGGATGCACTGACATTGTCGCAATAGACAACTGTGGCACGGGAAGGAGGACGCTGAAGCTCATAGAGAAGTTGACGGATCCAGCAGGATTCGGCAACGCAGTTAGCGACCCCGCGATATTCAGCTTCGGCGCTAGAACGAGACACTGTGGGCTGCCGTTTGGAAGACCAGGAGACCATGTTCTGCCCAAGGTAAACACAACCCGGAAGTGGAACGCCTTGTGTCGGGACAGTCGGCCCAATCAACATCCGTGTAGGCGACAAGGTCTAGCGAGGAGGCTTTGTATAACTGAAGACCGAAGTGGATGTGCCACGTAAGTATCGAAGGACTCGTTTGACGATTTGCATGTGTGACACATGAGGCTCATGCATGAAGAGATAGATCTGTTGGACGGCATATGAAATATCCGGTCTAGTGAGAGTAGGATACTGTAATGCGCCGGCAATGCTACGGTAAGTCGTGGGGTTGGATAGCGGCTCACCGGAGCTCGATGAGAGCTTGGCGGTGGTATCGACGGGGGTGGAAACGGGCTTGCAATGGAGCATGTTGGCGCGGTCAAGTATCTCTAGGGTGTATTGCTGTTGGCTAAGGAAGAGACCGGATGCATTCGGGGTGACATTAATCCCGAGAAAGTGATGAAGCTCACCCATGTCAGTCATGGAAAACTCCCGTTTGAGAGAGTTGATGACGTGGTGGAGAGTGTGGGGTGTACTGGCGGTGAGAATTATGTCGTCCACATATACTAAGAGATATGCAAGAGACGTGCCGTGGTTGAGGATGAAAAGGGAGGAATCGCTCTTGGAAGCACGAAAGCCCAGTGTCAAGAGAAAGGCCTGGAAGCGATGAAACCACGTACAGGGAGCCTGCTTTAAGCCATAGAGAGACTTGCGAAGGAGACACACATGATTCAGGCGTGACGAGTCGATGAAGCCGGATGGTTGAGCACAATAGACCGTTTCCTTGAGATCGTCATGAAGAAAGGCATTTTTGACGTCAAGTTGATGAATGGGCCATGCACTTGACGTTGCAATGCTCAGCGCAACGCGGATGGTGGCAGGCTTGACCACGGGGCTGAAGGTTTCCCCATAATCCACACCTTCCTTTTGTGTGAACCCCCGGACAACCCACCTCGCCTTGTAGCGTGCTAAGGATCCGTCAGGATGGAACTTGTGACGAAAAATCCATTTGCCAGTCACCACGTTGACCCCTGCAGGCTTTGGAACCAAAGACCAAGTCGAATTCATCATCAAAGCATTAAATTCATCACGCATTGCTTGCAACCAATTTGGATCTTTTAGTGCAGAACGATAAGTGGGTGGTATGGGGGATATGGCGGAAGCAGAGTTGGTGGCTAGAAAGAGGCGCTTTGGTTGGCAAAATCCTGATTTGGCTCTAGTGCACATGTTGTGGGAGTTTTGTGGTGGTGCAATCGGTATTGCATGCTTGGGCCGACGTGGAGGCGTGGTATAGGCTGGATCGGACTCCGAGGTGGATTCGGTGGGGCTGGCAAGCGGTAGTTGGGAGGCAGGCGCACGATCCGAGGAGGATTCGGTGGAGGAGGGGCCGGGCGTGGGATCCAAGGTAGGTGTGCCGCTAGGTGGGGAGGCAGGCGCGTCAGGTGCGGGATCCCGAGATGATCGGGGCTGACTGGCGGGCGTGTGCGACGAGGTCGATCCGGAGGGTGCGTGGGTGGTGGGGCCGCCCGGGGACTGTGGCGCGGTGGGTGTGGGGGGGCTGGCATGCTGATTGGTTGCATGGGTGGGGTGGCAGGGTTGCGCGTGCGGGGAGATTTGGTGGGACCCGTTCGAGGTTGTCGGGGCGGTGCGATCTGGGACGGATCGCTGCAGCTGGATCGCAGTGACCGGATCCTCTGTGAGCGATGCAGCGGTAGGCAACGGTGTGGGAGGCTCGTACGGGAACGTGTTCTCGTCAAAAATAACGTGGCGAGATACAATGACGCGCCGGGAAAGGGGGTCGTGGCACCTGTAACCCTTGTGTTCAAGGGGATAGCCGAGGAAAACGCACCGTGTGGACCGTGGAGCAAGCTTGTGTGGTGTAGTGGCGGAGAGGTTGGGGAAGCATAGGCAACCGAAGACGCGGAGGTGATCATATGTGGGGTGGATGACATGAAGACGGTAATATGGTGTTTGGGTGGAGATGGCACGCGAGGGACGGCGGTTAAGGAGATAGGTGGCGGTGTGTAGAGCTTCTACCCAAAAGGGAGGGGTGAGTTTAGCTTGGATGAGGAGAGTGCGAACTATATCCTTGGTGGTGCGAAGTAAACGCTCGGCCTTGCCATTTTGAGGGGAAGTGTGAGGGCATGAGAAACGGTAGACTATGCCGTTTGTAGAGAAGAGAGAGCGTAAATCTGAGTTGATAAACTCACCACCGTTATCGCATTGTAACGCTTTGATGATCACATTATATTGAGTTTTGACATAAGCAAAGAAGCGGTATAGGGTGGTGGATGTGTCGGATTTGTGGCGTAGAGGAAATGTCCATGAAAAATGAGAGTAATCATCAAGCACAACAAGGTAATATTGATAATCGGAAAAACTCACAACCGGAGAGGTCCATAGATCAAAGGGCGCAAACGTGCGACTAGTGGATGAGGGAAAAGCTAAACGGGGTTGGCGCCCAAGTTGGCATGCACTACATGGAGCATGTGGAGATTTATTACATGAGGTAAGGAAAACATTATCTAAAGAACGAAGGGTATGAGGGCTAGGATGACCGAGCCGGCGGTGCCACACATCACCATCGGAGACAGTAGTTGAAAAAGTGGTGCGCCAAGCCTTGTTGCTGCCATGGAAGGGGTAGAGGTCGCCGGAGCTAGCGGAGATTAGGATGATTTTCCGGGTGCGAAGGTCCTTCACAAGAAAGCCAAATGGGTAAAATTCTATAGAGCAAGAATTATCCGTAGTAAATTGACGAACGAAATAAGGCTCATAGTGACGTGAGGAGAGAAAAGAACATCACGTAAATGAAAATTATGTGGGGAAAGACGTGTGGAGCCAGTGGCATGAATGGGAAGATGAGATCCATTGCCTACAATAATGCTTGATAAATTATGCTTAGAGGGAGAATTCGAGAAGGTGAGGTTACCAGAGTTACCGGTCACATGGTTGGAGGCGCCGCTATCGAGGTACCACTCGTTGGAGGAGCCGGTGTTGGGGAAGCCGTTGGAGCTGTAGGCGGCGTGAAGCATGGCGAGATGATCCCATGACGGCGGTTGTGGTGGCGGGGGCGCGTGGTATGGCGAGTACTGCATCGGATAGGCGTGTGCGTGGGAGCCAGGGCGTGGCCCAAGCACGCCCGCAGAGTTGGGAGGAACCTAGCCGGGGCGTGGAGGAGGGATTGCCATGCCATAGGGGGCGAAGAAACCCATGTATGGGTTGTAAGCCGGCAGGGCATGACCACGACCGCCCGAGTCGCCGCGTCCACGACCGCGCCAACGGCCGCGCCGCGGCCGCGATCACCACCATCAACGTGACGAGAGGGGCCGTTGCCACGGCCGTGCTGCTAGTTGGGGGCCCGATCCGAGGGCCAATCCGCGCGTTCACCGGAGCGGTGGCCCGAGCCGCCGTTGTTGGGCAAGTTTGGGGGCCCGGAGGAGCTGCCGGTGTCGGGGGTGCCACCGCTCCCGTGGACGGCGAGCACAGTGGCGCTGGCGTCGGAGGCGCGCTGAGCCTGGTTCTCCTCGGCGAGTTTGACGCGCGAGAAGACCGTCTCGAAGGGTGGCAAGGGAACGGTGTCCCCCAGAACCACACGGATGGTGTCGAAGCGCCCGTCGAAGCCGATGAGAAACT